TTGAATACCAATCATTTTACGATTCTTTACTTAAAAAAGAATTAAATAAAGACTCTTTCACCGTAAAAATGCTTAGGAATGAATCGGTGAAGATTAACACCAATAGTGAAGCTGCCTACAGAGGTATCACAAAACATCTTAAAGAAGAAGATGCTTCGTGGTTCTCTTACGAAAACAAGCAGAGCAGGCCAATAAGAGTAATGGCAAAAAATCTGCATGCTTCTTGCAAGCCTGAAAGGATAGTTGAAGACCTCATACTTCAAGGATTTAAAATTTTAGACGCAGCCGTCAAATATAGTTGGAAAAACAAGGAACCGCTTAACATGTTCATTCTCTCTTTCCACCATCAAGAAAACAAAAAAATATATATGAAATAAAATCGATACTTGGCTGCAAAATTGATGTACAGCCACTGAAATCACCAAAATTGATTCCCCAATGCAAGAGGTGTCAGGCTTATGGGCACACACAGAAATACTGCTCTAAGGAGCCGAGGTGTGAGTGAGTCACACCAAAAGAAGAAAAATCGGTTCAGTAGTTCCAGAGATATCAAATTTTTAAATTTTCAAGATGGCGGACAAAAATGGCCGCCAATATGAAAAGCGCCTCTAACTCCGGTGTCCTTGCTCCGATTTCGTCGCGGTTTTCTCTCAGCTGTATTATTTTCTTTACCTTTTTTAACTAGGGGAAAAAAAATTTTGAAAAAGAGGTGGGGACGGGGGTTCTAAGGAATGGCTTTAATAAAAGTGGAATATCTATAATACTATTAGGTTTTTAAGGCGTAAATCGCTTCGCAGGGTTGTATTGTCCTAATTAAATTTACAAAATTTAGTTATTCTTATGAAATTTAAATCACCGAAACATAATTGCTCCATCAGAACCTACCAACTGGCCAGCTGATCACAATCGAATCCCGGACATACTCGATTTCTTCCTAACAAAAGGACTCTCTCAACAATACATGAAGATCGAATCATGTGCTGGTGGGTCATCTGATCACACTCCAGTCTTATTAACTGTCAGCTCCACTATAATTGAAGTCGAGAGGCCGATAAGATTATATAACCAGCAAACTGATTGGCTTTCCTTCAGGGAACACATAGATGAAAACCTTAATCTAAATGTCAGACTTAAAGAAGCAGAGGAAATTGAAACAGCAGTAGTGCAGTTTACTAATCTCATTCAAGCTGCTGCGTGGAGAAGCACGCCTACTACTGAACACAGAAACCAGCACACAAACATACCATTGGAAATAAAGATGATGATTCAGGAGAAACGCAGATTGCGAAGAGTTTGGCAACTGAGTCGTCATCCACGAGACAAGACCGCCCTTAATAAAGCCATTGTAGAATTGAAGGAAGCTATAAAGAATGTTAATGATTTAACAATGCAAGCAAAGTTGGAGTCTCTAACCGCTACTAAGGCCAGCAACTATTCGCTCTGGAAAATCACCCGTTCTTGTAGCCAACCTAACAAATCAAAAGCCCCAATTAAAAAGGATAACGGCTGGGCCAGAACGAGTCAGGACAAAGCGGACTTGTTTGCGAACTACCTAACAAGCTCCTTTAAACCTAATGTAACACTAGACAACTCATCAGAAGAATATGTTGACCAAGTTCTAAGTCAAGACCTTCAAATGGATCTTCCCCCTAGACCTGTGTCGCCTGCAGAAGTCATAAAAACTATCAAATGCCTGGACAGTAAAAAGGCACCAGGTTACGACCTGATAACAAAAGAAGTATTGATGGAACTACCGAGAAAGGCTATAATCTTTATCACTATACTCTTCAATGCTATGTTACGAATAGGCTACTTCCCAGTTGCGTGGAAAATTTCAGAAATCATCATGATTTATAAGGCTGGCAAACTGATGACCGAAAAAACATCCTACCGACCAATCAGTCTGCTGCCTACTCTTTCGAAGGTATTGGAAAAGACAATACTTCGTAGAATTGTGCCAAGCCTTGTGGAGCGCAAAGTAATACCAGATCATCAATTCGGCTTCAGACAATACCATGGCACAGTGGAACAAGCTCACAGAGTATGTGACGCCATAAGAAAGTCCTTAGAACAAAGGGAATACTGCTCATCAGCGTTTCTGGATATCCAACAAGCATTTGACAAGGTCTGGCACAAAGGCCTACTATGTAAGATCAAGCAGAATATTTCCCACTCTTACTTTCTAATATTCAAATCTTACCTAGAAGATCGCATATTTTATGTAAAAGAAGGTGACGCCACTTCGAAATTTCAAAACATTGATGCCGGGGTACCACAAGGATCTGTTCTCGGCCCCATGCTCTACACGTTGTACACTGCTGACCTACCGCTATTGCCAGGAATAACCACAGCAACATTTGCAGATGACACCGCTATATTAGCAAGCAATAAAGACCCAGGACTTGCATCAGAGGACTTGCAGAAGGGCCTTGACAAAGTTAACGAATGGCTGCAAAAATGGAAAATAAAAGCTAGTGCCGCGAAGTCAGTACATGTGACCTTCAGCCTTAGAAGAGGAGACTGCCCACCTGTAAAGTTGGACCAATGTATTCTGCCCCACAGCGATCATGTAAGATATCTTGGCTTACACATTGATCGTGGATTAACGTGGAGGCACCACATCAAATGTAAAAAGCAGGAGCTACAGCTAAAGTACAACAGCCTTTACTGGATGCTAGGAAGAAACTCAAGACTTTCTCTAAATAACAAACTTCTTATATATAAAGTCATCCTAAAGCCCATTTGGACATATGGCCTCCAACTGTGGGGCAGCGCAAGTGATACCAACATAAATATACTCCAGCGACAACAGAACAAGATCCTAAGAGCAGTTGCAAAAGTACCATGGTACATAACCAACAACGAAGTTCACGAACACCTTAAAATGAGAACTATCAAAGAGGAAATCCGGAGACTGGCAGCTAAATACAAAGAGCGGTTAAGCTGTCACCCGAATGAACTTGCTCGCCAACTCACCATTAGACAGTATGTGAGTCGACTAAAACGTCACCATATTCTAGAGCTAGAAGACCGGCAGTAGCTCTAGACAGAAGATGAGTAGATGCTTCCAATGGGAAGTCACTCTCCATGACAGCACCACAGAAAAAATTAGCTCATAGCCTTGGGGCTGATTGCAAATAACCGCAGAAAAAAATAAAAATAAAATTCTTATGAAATACTCGAGAACGGCGAGAGGGGGGAGGTTGCGGGGTGAATTCTTGGGGGGGAATTTTTTGCCTAAATATTTATCTAATCAGTTGGAACAAGGCTTGTATACATAAATGTATACAAGTCTGCCGTCAAAAATCCCGAAAACGGTCTGTCTACTGTCGGGTAGAAATCCAAGTGGACCGCCCTTTGAGGTGCTATAAGTGCCAGAAGTTGGGTCACGTGCGAGCCACCTGTGACTCAACGATGGACTTTGCGGAGGCGTGCTTTCGGTCTGGGGTTGCTGGCCACAAGGCCTATGAATGCAGCTCGAAAGAGCTGCATTGCGCGGTCTGCTCAACGGCTGGAAAGCCAGCAGACCATAAGATGGCGGGGAGGGCCTGCAACCCTCCGAAAGTGACGAAGGGCCCAGGTGCCCCAAGGACTGGGACAACTGTGGGGAACACTCCCATGGAGGTTGGTGTGGTACAACCATCATAGCTATACCAGCCTCCTAGGGGGGACCATGAGACGCCGTGCCGCGCCTCAGGGGTTGTGTGCAGTCACCCTGGCCGAAAGTGCCACTTGGTTGAGGCAACACTGTCTCGACCTGGTGTCGGTCGTTTGGACGGGCCTCTCACTGCCGAGTGTTGTTGCAGCAATATTAGGTAGCCAGGAGGCATGGCGATCGGTGGCTTTCTTTTGCGACCGCATTTTGCCGCAAGGGAGGGCTGCCGAGCGTCAGCGGGAGGTGCGTTGAAACTACCGGAGGGGTTGTGCTTGGCGACGGCAAGGTGAAGGGTGGGTAGGCGCAGGGTGGGCCCAATATACGCATAGTTGCGTGGGTCCAACTGCGTCCCACTGCGTCGTCGCCAGGCCCTTATGCGGACATACCCGCCTGAGCTTTCTGGGTTGAATGCCTAGTGCGACCCCCGGGGAGCTTAATGCGGTGCCGGACGGCATTCATTCAGAATGGGTGTAGTCTGGTACCGCAGGCGGTATGGAGGGTTCAGGAGGAATTTTTAGTGGGTCCGGCTTCTCCCCTCTGATTAGCAGAGGGACTTTGAGAACGCCATCCCCACAGTCCCCGCGGTAGCGACTGCATACGCCCGCGGGCCTGCATTTGTGCATTTTAACCTCCTTCATAAAAAAAAAAAGGTTAGTTGTTTTTTTTAATTTTTTTTATTAAATACCTAATCAGCCTACTCCCCGGGCGAAGTTTATCCCCGGGCCGTGGAAATTCGAGCTAGATTGAAACACATGATGTTTATATTTTTATTTCAAAATTTGTAAGTTACATATCGTCACATCAATGGTAAACTTGCGAAACTGCAAAATCCTAACTTTACAGGAGAGCGTTTTGAAAGTTAGAAACATCCAAAACTTTTTTTTCATAGGGCGCATATTGACAATAAAGCATTTTTTTAAATAAAAATGGCGCCTTTTTCAATTACAAATGACATTTGATCAATAATCTTTATGGTTTAGAAATAAATGCACATTCGTAACTTTGCATCACCATATTAACGATTCCAAAGGTACTCATTTACATCAAAGCAAACTGACGAATGTGGTACATTCGTAAATATTGTGAGACAAATATGAAAATTGACTCAAGTAAACCTACGAAAATACCACTTTCGTAAATTTACCGAAACATGATATGTTATTACCCTCAATAATTAGGTATAAATTACGTATCTACACCGTAGACACGTAATTTATACCAATTTATTCTACACTACCATAGATTCTACAACATTAAATACAATGGTGTTTGCGAAAAATACCTTTATTTATTCATTGTACAGCAAGAAAAATTAAAATAAATCTTAATTTTAAAACAACGGATCTTAATCTACCTCTTCAGCATCAGGCTCTGGTAAGCGGTCTTGGACTGTTGACGAAACAGGCAAATTTTCATAAAATGAGTGATAGTATTTTGGTATCTGGTTCTCTGCACATAACTTCATCAAGTCTCTTTTTTTGGCTGTCGAAATAGGCAGTCTGCTGCTGTAAACATGCGTAGGCATTAACGATGTATTTTTTCCTTTTTTTGCCTTTATCTTCATTTCTTTGAAACTTTCTTCATTATAATCAGTTTTAATGAAAATCGACTTTGAACTGTTTTTAAGATATTGAATCCACACAGCATCTTGGAAGTTTATTTTTTTCTTATTAGTGGTATTCCATGTTTCTTTTTCTTTACATTTCTTTGATTGTGTCTTCTTCGTTGTTTCTGCAGCAAAATGACAATTATTTGGATTGAAGTCCAAAAACTCCCCATGACTTAAAACTGTTACATTAAATGGACGGGGATTCCTTCTAGCTAACCTCATTACCTGAAGCCATCCATCCGGAGTGTAAACTGCAGTGTTTTTACACTTTTGCTCAATCTTTGAGTGAACAGAGTCACATTCCATGTGGCTGTGACCTGGCTCATAGAACACGTGGTCAATTGTGTGTATTGTCGGATGGGTTGTTACTAAGTGTAGCAACATACAAGAAAAGTGAAAATTTTTTTGTTGTCCTCCACAATTATCTGACATCATTCTTACATGTGTTATATCTTGCTTGTCTGAAATATATTTGTATATGCATGTCGCTATTTCAATACTTCCACGTTTTCCTTCAGTCTCATCCCAAGTAAAACAATCGACATCTTTATCGCCAAATCTGTAGCACGTCAAATTGTAAACTGGCAGTTTACGGACATAAAAGAATGGTCCAGCAGCACCTTTAGGTGTGTGGAGAACAGCTTGAAGGTCGAAGTTGAAGGCCAAAACATTTTTATTATTATTTGCTGCTGCCTTGTCAGCGTCTCTACGCAGAAAGGCATCATCACGTCTCTTGAGATGTTTGGAATGATTCGCATCTTCTAAGATTGTTGCATTACTTTTTGTATCTTTGAAGGCTACACATTTTTTGCACAGATCTTTTTTAGGCACATGAAACCTCAGTTTGTATGATCTGAAAACTTTTCGATATGTTTCCATACCGGCTGGAATAGTACCTTCTTCTTCACACTTCTTTTTATACAGCGAGTACATTATTTGTACATTCAGTCCAGCATCGAGGTATTTGTATTCCGAGTTCTTTCTGCAGTAATGTGATTCCATGGCCGGAAATGAAAGTATGTGTGTTTTCAGCATATCCAATTGTTCGGGGGCAAGTTTGTTAGGTGGGCATTTTTTTCCTCTATTTTCAGGCATAACTACACCTTCTGGGGAAACCTTTTTCAAAGCTCCTCTCACAATGCCTTCTTTTATATTCAAGGTGTTTAAAAAAAAAACTCTGCAAACTGTGACCTTCTCATTCCTTATTGTAAAATGATAGTGGTGCGTAGACTCTTTGCGTGAACGGCCACTTGTCGTTGATCTTTTCTTTTTGTCTTTTGTCACGTGTTGAATTATAAATTGACGTTGTGCGTCTAAACTTCCAAGAGCACGAAATGACTCATAAATTTTTTTCCACGCATCTTCAGGGACACTTTCGTTGCATTTATGTTTTGGATTTTCCAAACACTTTGGTTGCTTTAAAGGCGCAGCTGACATCAATTTACCTTTAACAGTTTTATATGCTTCACCTTTTAAGCGTTTGTCTCTTTCGATACGTCTTTTCCATTTGGTAGGATCAGCAACACGTCTTTTCTTTGGCGAAATTGGCTTATTTGCTTTTGTTTGCTGTGAAAATCCCACGTCAGAGACAGAAGCACTTCTGATTAACTTCTTTGATGGTTGTTGCGTTTGGTTATACTGTTGTAAGTCATTTTCAGAGCATCGTCTTTTTGTTGGACCGGGGACATTCACTTGAATACGACGAGTTTGGCAATTATTTCCGCTTTTTTTTTCAGGCTTACTAATTATTTTGTTATTGTCGTCGATCTCATCTAAAGACATCGAAGCATTGTCATGGCTTATTTTGGGTTGTCGAGTAGAAACTGATGAAAAATGTTTTGGACCATTTAATTTTGTTGTATGGACCAAAGCTGTCTCAATGACTGTGTGTGAAGTACATTCGTCATCTGAGAAACTGGTATTTAAATCCTCATTGACGGTATAGTCAGGATCTTTAACACTGTCATCGTCTATAAAATCAGAAAGTATAGCTTTGGCCATTGTGTCAAATAATTGTTGAGTATCTGGTGACATAGTCCGAACGGGTGAAGAATTTTCGCTACTTTCAGGTATCGTGATATTGTTTCCAGATAGAAAAGTATTCCGGTCTATCGGAGTTATGGGTGAAAATAATGGTGCCAAAGGTGTTGCAGCAGTTTCTGCGGAGTAGTTTATTATATTGAATGTAGGTGTAGAATTACTATCTCTTGATTCAGCGCATTCTTCAACAGTAACCTGAACTTCTTCATCTATCAATATTTCGCGAGCCAAAATGTTGTCTTCTATTACTTCGGCTTTATTTTGCACCAAGCAAACTTTTTTATTGCTTGTCTCCAATTCAGCTGCTCCTGAAAATCGCAAAAATATCTTAAGGCCAAGTCATTTGGTGGTCAATTTAAACCTTAGAGATCAGCTAATGCAAACCTAGAAAAATTGTTACACTAAGTAGGACTTTCGTTAGTTCACATTTATACTGGAAGTTTCAGAAATATCCTGTAAAACTGAAAGGGGTTCATCCACATATCAATAAGAATAACTTTTATTTTGGGGCCAGTTGTTTGTATTGATGTGTGAATGAACCACTTTCAGTTTCACAGGAAGTTTTTGAAACTTCCAGTATAAATGTAAAGTTTTTATCAGATTTAAAACCCATGTAGGTACTCAAGTATTTAAATTTTGTCAAAAAGTCCGACCAGGTTTCACTTTCCGCAGGGCTTAATCACTACGACTCGTGGCGGAGCTTGCGGCGGCGATCGTTCTGCGGACCAGAGCAAAACCTGGTCAAACATTTTCATGAATCCGTTGTAATTAGAACGGATTTTATAGGTTATCAATTTTATATTAACATAAAATACCTATAACCTATAAAATCACAATCATTAATCTATTAGGTTTGTACCTACATAACTTAGTAGGCTACATAAAAGCACTCGGCCGACGTCCTCCCTAGCCGCCGTGACCTATATCGGTTGGCTCATCATCACTATCATCAGTTGGATTCTTTGAGTTTCAGATTCTAGAGGTTAAAAAAACAAATACCTAACTTACTTTTGAGACTTTTACTTCTTTCAGCTTCAAAAACTTTTTGTAACATCTTCTCATTTCTCTTCATGCTTCACCAAACTTTTATAGTTCAAATAAATTAAATCACAAGAAGAGCAACAATCGAAATCTTCGATTGTTTGTGTCCACTGAGGTGATTGAGATTCACTGTTGTCGTAAAAATATTAGAATTTCTATCAATAGAGTTGAGTTCGACGGTTAATATTCCTATAATTAACTTGAAACTTAATTTAAATAATAATTACATAAAACAATATGCGATCACTTTACATTATTCGTATGTTTGCAACCTTCATGGGATCTATAATTCAATATATAATATTTCTCTTAAACACCAAAGCAAACTTACGAATATGGCAAGTTCTTATTTTTGCTATCAATAATTCTAAATCTATGGGTATTTGCCGCCAATGTATACTCACGAATATGGTAGATTCGTTTCTTTACTGTAGGTAGCTAAGCCAACTTAGATAAACTTTATCACCAAAGTAAACTTACGAATTTAGTAGATTCGTTACTTTACTGTGGTTAGGTAAGCCCACTTAGATAGCATCTATCACCAATGTAAATTTACGAATGTGGTAAATTCGTTAGTTTGCTGTAGGTATCCTATCAAGCTGAATAATTTTAGTCACCGATGTAAATTCACGATTATACCACATTCGTAAATGTACAATGGCCAATTTTATCCCATGTGCATACATCTTATTCTATGGTAAAATATCCTATGTTACTTTAGTAAGTTTACTATGGGTGATATTACCATAAAGTACAGATTCGGACAACTCTAAATCAGTAACCGTTAGAGATAGAAATACCAAAAATTGCCAGATTGTGTAGTACCACTTTAGACATAGTTTTGCATAAAAAACTAAATTTTGCCAAAAAGGCAGATTCGTAAGTTTACCATTGAGGTGACGATATGTTTGTTCAGTGAATGTTTTTATTTATTACATAGTTATTCTCTTGTTCATTAAATATTAACATTATTACATTGTTTATTTACATATCTTAGTTAACGAATTCAATGTGGCAATACGCTGTGTCAGGACGCGCCGCCATGGGAAAGCCCCATCCCCACGGCGTCGCTATCCGTCGTGTGTGTTGGCGTGTTACAGTCCCTGTTCAGTCCGCGGACACTTTGTATAATTCTGTCACAAAACTTCTCCAAGCATGTCCGAGTGTCACCGCGGGACACGAAGCGTGGGAGCTGGTCTTCCGTTAAAGAGATTCCAGTTTGCTCCTCCACCTCGTGCCTCGCCACACCAAATATTGGACAGCTAAGCAGACAGTGCAGGGATGTTTGCGGCGTGGTGTTGTCACACGGACATGACGGGTCTCGCTTTAAATTAAATCTGTGTAAGTAGCTGGCAAAAGGGCCGTGGCCCGTCATGACGTGCACTAAATTTCTCTGTGGTCTGTATTGTCTGACAAAATTGTATGCCGATTTTATGTCGGGTAGGAACACCTTAGTCACCAGACCCCGCTCACTCTCCGCATACCTCTGCTCCCACTTCTTTATTGTCTCTTTGCGGATGTCCCTTTTTATGTAGGATATCGGGCATTTTGTGTATGCTGGTTTGGTCTTTAAATTATTTGCTGCATTTCTAGCTAGTTCGTCGGCTCTTTCATTGCCCGCAAGACCACAGTGAGCCTTTATCCAATATAGTTTTATTTCCTTGTTATTTTTCTCTGCTATCTTGAGGTTTCTTCTTATTTTCGTTATAAGAGGGTGCCATGAGTTGCCATTGACAACCGCCTGTAGTGCCGATCTAGAATCTGAGTATATGGCACAGGTTATGTCGTTTGCGGTATTTATGTCATTTGTGGCTGCCACCAAGGCGAACGCTTCCGCTTGGAACACTGTGCAATAGGATGATAGCTTGAATTTCCTTGACTTTATTTCGGCCCCATTTTTCCACCAGGAAAAAGCGGCACCGACATCTTTATCACTTTTGCTTCCGTCCGTAAATATTTGCACTTGTCCCTCCGAGCTCGTCGCCAAGTCATCCTCGTTTGAGATTAGTTTAAATTTTAGCAGCGGTTCCTCGGCGGGGTGGTCCATCTTGCAATACTCTGCTTTATTTTCGACCTCGATATCGTCCGAGAGGCCCTCCCAGTGTCCCTTTTTTGCCATGTATAGGGTGGCTACTTCAGTTACACGCAGGTCGAGTGGGAGAGTGCCAGAAAGAGCCAGAGCTGCGTTCAGAGACACAGTTCTATTCGCCTTTACTATCTTTTGAGCGAAGCCCCTTTGAATTGCATTTAATTTTTTGCGAACGCATATTTTTTCCGCTGCCCTGGCCCATGCTGCCGCTGCGTAGGTTATGGTGGGTTCCACCACGGCTGTATAAATTGTGGAGACTATATCCGGATGCAGTCCCCAGGTGTGTTTTGCTGCTCTGGCCACTTGTTTATATAAGTTGGCTGCCTTAACACAAATCGTTGACGCATGATCGTTGAATGTGAGTTTGTCGTCTATTGTCAGGCCAAGAATTTTTATTTTGCTTGTCAGTCCAATTTGAACTCCACTCATTTTCAACCTTGGTGTGTCATACTTAGTTTTGTTTGTAATTACCATTGCCTGGGTTTTGCTAGGTCCAAATTTCAGCTTATTATTTTCACCCCATTTTGCAGCCAACTCCAGCGCCTTGTTGCCCTTGCTCTGGACTTCCTCTCCACTGTTACCCTCCACTATCACCAACACATCGTCAGCGAATGCCTGACAATATATATTATTGTCAGACATTTGCCCCAGTATCGGGTCCAGTATAACGTTCCAGAGCAAGGGGCCGCTTATGGATCCCTGCACAAAACCCTTTGTTGTCGATCGTTCTACTTCTTCCCCAGCATATCGAAGCTTAACTTTGCGACTCCGGAGATAGTCGTCGTATACCCTTCTCAGGTTGACAGGGCATCCCTGTTCGGCAAGGCGCACGCGGATTCTGGGCCACCGCGCATTATCGAAAGCGCCCTCTATATCTAAGGAGATGATTAGTGTGATGAGTTTACTTTTAAGGTTTTTACGTACTCGATCCATTAGATTATAAAGGGCGTCCTCAGTGCTTCGCTGCGGGATGAACCCGTACTGCCTCTTGGATAGTTTAGGCACAAGGTGCCACTTCAACCTCTCGACCAGCATCTTCTCATAGATCTTTCCCATTACAGGGAGGAGGCCGATGGGTCTGTAAGATTTTTGTTCTGTGTATTTCGGTTTTCCCGGTTTTCTCAGGATCACCACCGTCGCCTCCTTCCACTGTTTTGGGAAAGATCCAGTCTCCAGAGCTTTATTTATAATGGCTCGATAGGTTTCCGGTTGGCTCATAATGGCTTTGTGGCAAATGTCCGCTGTCAGACCGTCCCCACCCGGTGCCTTTTTAGGATTGAAACTATTTACGGCTCTTTCTACCTCAAAGCTTGTAAATGGTGGGTCATGAATATCATTATTTCTCGATCCATCATTCACTCCCTCTGCGTCTGCTCGTACCAGTCTCTGTTCTTCTGTATCCTCACTTTCTTCATCCGGGGGGTAGAATGTCTCCGCAAGAAGCGTCGCAGATTCTTTGGAGTCGTGGTGTTTGCCATTTGCGACAAGAGGAATGTCCTCCACTCTTTTTGTTGTGCGATTTACTACTCTATAGATCCCCTGCCACATTCCCTCTCTTTCCTGCCTCGTACAGAAGTTACGCCAGCTCTCTGTTCTCGCTTCCATGATCATTTTTTCGTACTCTTCTTTTTCTTTCAGATATTCTTGCACTACCTTATTCCTGCGAACTTGTGCCGCGCATCTGATGCGCCTTTTCCTTGTCCTAACCATTTTTCTTCTTTTTTCCAGCTCGTCGTTCCACCAAGGCAAGGTGTTTGTTGGTCTCTTCTTTACTTCTGGAACGGCTTCTTTTGTGGCTGCGATCGTTGCCTCTGTATATTTTCCTACCATCTCCTCTAGCTGTTCCTTATTGCTCACTTTGTTGATTTTTTCTATATTAACTTGAGCTTCTTCCAAGAGCTCAGATAATCGTTGTTCAAAGAGTGACCAGTTTGCCTTTCTGGTATTATACTTTCTGGTGGTCCGTTCTGTTTTCCTTCCTTCTGATCTCTTGAGTTTCATTTTAAACGTGATACCGTTGTGGTCGGAGCTCACCAGTCCTTCCTCCACACTCCACTCGTCTATGACCGCTAATAGGTCCGCGGTGCATGCAGTTATGTCCACATAACTTTTGTACCTTTTCCCCCCCCTCCAGTGTCAAAAGTGGGTATGTTGCTATTGTTTAGTATTTCGAAGTTCATACTGTGAAGAGTTTATGCTATTAGGTCGCCCCTGTGGTCGACGTTGGGGCTGCACCACCACGGACTTTTTGCGTTCGCGTCACCGGCCAGAATTATTCTGTTTTTGGCCCTATCGCATATTCTCTGGATTCGGTCGATGTGGTGCTGAACATCTTTTGGATCTGGTTCAAGATAGAAGGAAACCAACGTGATCTCCCGTGCCTCCGTACGCAGCTTCACTACTACCACATTCGGCGTCGTCCATTCAGGAAACTGGATGACCTCGATCTTTTCGTCAAACACGAAGATCGCAGCTTTCGTCACTGTCGCTCCCGCTTGCTCATGTTGATACACTGGCTCCTGACTGTTCCTTGACCCTTCCTTCGGAGCCAGTATATGGTTCTTGAACGAGAGCAGCGAGCATACCTCTGTTCTTAGCCTCTATCCTTAATTCGTTTTGGGCTAGTTCTTTTCTCTGGAGGTTCGCCTGACACATTAAGTAGCCATTCTGTCTCCTGTGGGTGCCCTTAGCAATACGCCACCGTCGATCTTGCCATTGCCTCCCATCTTGCTCTCGTTGGGCAGTCAGTGTCAAACGCGTTGTGGTCAGCATTCACGTTTAGCATTGTACAGTTTACGCACATTGGGGGGTCTCCTGCTTTGTATTTTTGGCAATCTGCCTTTTTGTGTTCCTCCCAGCAATGAGCACAGACCTCTTTCGTGCTTTCACAATATTTCCGCGTGTGACCATAGCCCAAACAATTTGTGCATTGTATCAGTGGT